GGCAGAATGCTAAACCATGGATGGTCAGGATGGTCTGCATGAATCATTGTGAATTATGGACTTGCAAATCAATTCTGGGTGGTCCTAAAAGGATGTGGGAAAATTATTTCAAAAATTTAAATAATCTATTACAGTCTTTGCTAACCATTTTTATTATGGCTTGGTTATTTGAAGCAATTAGTTACTAATATGTGCTCTAATAAAAACAGGTAATGTTTGTTAATTAAAGCTCAGAGCAAAAGTTTTTGATCACCTCTTTCAGTGTCTCGTGAGGAACGAAAGAAAATGAGCTAAGGACTAACCACAGCTTATGTATATAATATTTGTTGCGTTTGTTTAAATAAAGAGCACTGCCCTCCAAAAACCTTTCATTATTCTGCAAAATACTGCAGCGTTGAGGAGATACCTGGGGAACCACCAGCAGAAGCTCTTTACGTGATGTTATTTGTCTGATTTTTTTGTGCTCCTTCACCTAATATGGAGCAAATTAGCAACACAATAATTAACTATGCTTTGTGGATGCCATCTTTGTTTTAGATGTTGCTTCATTGGCCACTTTTTGTTATCATACTGTATTTCAGTGATTTTAACATAGTTTGGGATGATATTTGGAAATATATCTCACTATAGTTAGGGATTATAGTTAGGGATTATCCATGTCAGATAATTCGAAGCATGTTCTGAATTCAGCTGACTAACAATTAACATCTACCCAATACATTTCTCACCCATATGACAGACATGGAGTTATTCGTGTTTTATCAATTTGCATATTTAATCTAAGGATTTCAGCATTCACTTAAGATTGAAATTCTTATTGATTTCTCATATATACTTAAATCATCTTAACTTCAACTCTGAAAATTAATATTTCCGCCTAAGCATTTTGAGGTATATGAGAAAAATACAATAATATAATTACAAAACATAATCACGATAATTCTATAGCCATAGCTATATAACATCTCTATTAATCACTGAACAGATATCTAACCAATTAGAGCCATCTCCAAATATTGCAAACCAATATATAATTATGCTGGTAAGTATTAAAGTGACTTCCAGATTTCTGCAAAAAAGTAAACAGAAATTTAGCTATTAAATATGCAGGAGCTAAAAAAAATGGACTCAGGTAAGATTTAAATAAATAAATGGGAAACTGTGGCCCACATCTCACGATTGTAAGATGTCATGGAATGTAGAATTTCATTATCAGAATTAGTATTAACTTGTGCTTGTGTGATACAAGGGCAGAGAAGCACATGGTTGCCACTTGGTAGCAGTTGCATATTCATTATAATTTCCAACAATTCTGAGTTTATAAATGGTCAGGAGCACTACATGAACTGGTAAGACATATTGTTTTTATTCTGCTGTGTTATCTAAAAGATTATTTATTAATTAATTGATGAAGTACAGATTAGAAAGAGAAAAACATAAATAGCTATTTCCTGTGAAGTGGCTGCATTGTAAGTTAACTGCATTTTCTTTTGATTCAACCTGTGTGCTTAAGATAATGATCTAAACAGCAAGTAATTTGTTGGTATAATGAAAAGGAGGTCATTACTCCTTATTAATTGTTGCTTGTATTGATAGCACATTTTATTTTGATTACCAACTCACAGTTGAATCTTTAACAATCCATTTAGTGTCAGTGCTTCAATCAAAGAACTAATAATATACGAGGGGGTTATATGAAACTGTACTTCTACATCATTTAGATATATATAAAACAAAGTGAACAAAACATTTTTCTTAAAATAAATTTCAACTAACCCGCTATGATAAACAATTGTAAACACACAACTGCATTTGGAGGGAAGACTAAAACAATCTCTATGAGAAGAAACATAGCAAAAAGTATAAATGGAAGGAATACAGAGATTCATCTCTGTACTATTTAATGTCTTCTAGGCTGATGAAGTATATTTTTTTAATATAAGCCCATTAGGTTTTCTGTAAGCTTTGATTTCAAGCATGCACTAATCTTTGTTAAAGAAAATCATATAAAACAGGAAAAGCAGACAATCTTGAATAAAAGCACTCTTTATTCATAATTACTATTACTATTAGTTTATTCTTGGTGTGTCACCTAATCACCTAATCATTTATTTCCGTATATCAGCCAAACAGATATAAAACAACTCACCACTGAACCGGCTTAGTCCATAAATATACTTTATTTTTATTGATCATCATTACTTCAACAAAGAACCATTCAATCCAAATAATTTTGTCTTGCTTTAAAGATTCTCTTTTTCACCCATCTGCCTTTGTAACAGGCTATCTATTTCTAACGTTTATTTCCCTACCAAAAAAGAAAGGAAAAGAGACTGCTTCAACATTAATGCAACACTATATTGACATTAGCAGCTATTGGTCAGTGCTTAATAAAATTAAGTATTTTAAGATATGTGATCTGATGGCCTAGTATGTTACAAAATATGAAACAGAAAATACATGACAAATACTAATCATAGCAAACCAACTGGTTAATGCTAAAGAGTCACACCAAAAGTCTATCCAGTTTGGCACTTCATTTACATGAGCTAGCCAGATGCTAATGGAACATCTACAGACAGGATAAAAGCACAGCATCACTGCTCTTCTTGGGTTCTTCTGCAACTGGAATTCAAAGGAGTAATGTGTCTGATAAAAAAGGGCAATCTCTTCCCCTTGAGAGGGGATCCAAAGTAACTTCCATAAATGGTAGCTTGATCCCAATGGTTTCAGACTATAAATATACACTCACCCACTATCATTTTAACATTACTTTAACAGTAACAGAGATAGAAATGTGGTGAGACAGTGGAATATATCAATATCTTACTATATACAAAAGAAAATATCTCAGAGAGCATCAAGAAATCTACATTTTGTTTGTGTCGTCAATTGAGAAAAACCCTATTTACCAACTAAATTATCTTGTATGAAACAGGAAATAGCAAAAAACAACAATAACAATCAAACAAAATCCATGAAAATTCATAAATTACAATTCAGAATGTACGGAAAACATGTCCTCTATTAATATTTTACTCTCAGTTCTAACATTAAGTGTATAACACAGCTATCCAGGGACAACCTGTTGCACGTTCTATATATTAACAAATTTAATGTGACAGGAACCCTCAGCAATGTAGTATATATATGCAGAAACTTAGCTACTTGTACCCATTACACACATCTTTGCACATTCTGGACTATAGTGAATATATTCACTTAGCAACAACTCACAGACCTATGTTACAAAAACCATGTTTCCTAAGATTGGACAGAAAGTTATTCACTTTGAGGAATGGAGGCAGATCATCACAAAGCATTATAACAGCATAGATGCAGGATTTTAATACTTAATTTCTATTCATATTAGGACGTCTCACTGATTTTTAAACAGACTTACATCTGAATAGCTAACACCAAAGACTGGATTGCACTAAAAAACTAAGGAACTTCTTACTACGAATGTTAATTATATGACCATATTTACGATGCAAAAAGAAATTTATCTAAACTTCTTACATCTCTTGGTGAGAATTATATCTGCACTACAGCTTCTAGAAACATGTTTCTAACACATATAAGAGGAAAAATAATTAAACCAAACCTAAAAAAGTCATTGTACGGGCAGGTATTTCTTTCTCATATTGAAGCCAAATATGTATCATGGAAAAAACAGTATCAGTGGAAATTTTGGCAAAAGTCAAGATGGAACATAAAACAATATTATTAGCAATACATATGATAATTCAGTAAAATTGTTCAAGAATTACAAAAAAAACAAATCAAGGGTGAGGAAAACAATATATAACTTACAGAAACTGGTAACCATAGATGCTACAATACTTCGAATAATCAATTTGAAAAGATGAAAAAGCTTACAGATCCTGCCATTCCCATCCTTTTCCTTCACAGATTCACAGTTCTGTATTTTCAATAATTCTCAACGCCTCTAAGCAAAATGGATTTATTAGGATGCTATTTTAAAAGACCACAGGAGTTCTATATGCCAATAAAGATTAGACAAACAATAACTGCTAACCATTGTGCATACTCTGATAAACAAACCTGTTCACAAACTAAGCACCTTATTGTATTCCTACTGTTACCTCCACTAATCCAACTAAAACAGTCAAGACAACAGCTTGGAGGGTCATGAAATGAAATGAAAATTGAAAACAAAGGCTTCCTAAACCTCTTGAAATCAACGGAAAAATCACTCTCGTCCTTCTGTGTTTTGGAGGCATTTAAGTGTTCGCAATATTATTTTTTTTTGTCATATGTTGACTTTTTGTATGCTGAATCAATACAAACTGGAGATCATAATCCAAACAGTGAAAACACAAAAACTAAACAGTTATTCATCCTAAAACTTGCAAACTCAATACTTTAGATAACACTTTGCCAATACAAGGTCACACACAATCCAAGAGAAACTATAAAAAGGGCACCAAATACACAATGTTACTCAGCATTATTCTGCTTACTTCTAGTGAAAGGTAGGACCATAAACACTGCAAATGAAAACAATAAGTGGCAACACTACATGTATCACAAGTGAACAAAATATTTGCCTCCCTGGCAGGGAGTAAAAGTCAAAACCTATAGCACAAAACTGAACCAGACACATTATACAAATAAACAGTATTAACAAAAAAAAAAGTCCAGATATTAGTTGTTTCATTGTAAAAGGAAGCTCGTGTCCCTGTTGGTCATCTCACAGAAGCTGCAGCAAACCATCCTCCACCTCCAAAGGTGGTCAAAAAAGTATTGCCCTCAGGTGTACATCACCCTGATTTCCCACTAAGCAACCGTTTCCTACAAAAAAGCTTCACCTCTACCCCATTAAACCCTTTGCAGAGAATAACCAGATCATGAAAAGAAGAGCGTGGAGTTTGAAAGTCGGGGAAAAAAAGCAACCCTTTCGTTTTCTTTTACTCCCTTATGCAAACATATTTAAAAGAGAGATCTTGGAGACACCTTTGTCCTGGAGCCCTTACCTCTTTTTGGCCTGGGGAAGCTGTCATGCAAGTGAAAGACGACTTTCTCCACAAAGTGCTGAATGTTACTATGCTCGGGTCCTCTAACAAATACCATCCAGTCGTGAGTAAAACCTTCCACGGTGGGTTTCTTCCTCACCTGGGCTCGATGGCCAAGCTCCAGTTTCACCTGAACAGCGCACTAGGCAGAGAGAGAGAAAGAGAGAGAGAGTGAGTGAGTGAGAGAAAGAAGGATAACAATGAGTACCAGAGGAAAAGCAAGGATACCTCCCCCCCCCTCCCTTCCCTCAACTCCATTCCTGTAGATTTTCAAGGTTCCCTGAAAAGGACAAAAAGAAAACACACACAAAGAAAATAGCCGCCTGCTTATGGAGGGGTAAGACACCATTCTCCTGACTTTTAAAGAGACATTGCCAGTTAGGAGAAGCAGCTGGGATTGTAACGGAATGCAGGCAACCTCGAGGCCAGGGGGCTGGGTGCAGAATTTGGGGTTTGGGGGGACGTGGGACAGGAGGAAGGAAATAAGGGGAGAAGAGAACTAATTCCTGAAGGGGTCCGTTCCCAACAAGAAGCTATGACCCCCCCCCCCAAAAAAAAAGCGGGAGGAGGGGAAGAGGAGCGGACCAACATTACTATTATTTCATATTGGGGGCTTGTCGGGTTTTCAACGGGGCTGGCCTTTCAAGTTCCATTGGAAACGCGCTCCGTCGAGCCAGAGAGATCTCGCCTCAAAGTCAACAGCAGAGGGGAGAAGAAGAGGGCGAGAAGCAGAACAGGAGGCGCTGCGACTGAAGTAGTTTCAAAAAAACCCATTTTTGTTTTTTTTTCAGGAGAAGGAGCTTCTCGTCGCCCGCCTCACCGTCACGCGCGGGTATATACACACACACACACATGCATACACCTAGCCACGCGCAGCCAAGAGGAAGACTTATCGGGGGAGGGGTGGGAAAGGGGTGCCGCCAGCTGTCAAGAAAGCCACGCCGGGGAGAGAAAACGCACCATCCTGAGAGGCGCCTTCCTGAGCGGCGAGCCCGTTTTCCCCCCCTTGCAACTGTACTCACGGCTCCCCCCCCCCCTGGGCGCGCGGCGGAGGCGGGTTGCTGCCGCTGCTGCCGCCGTCGCCGCCGCCGCCGCTGCTGCTGCAGAAATATGGCTGGATTATTATCCGCCTCCCGTGTGCGTGTGCGCGCGCGCTCCATGCAATTGCCCAGAGAGGAGGGGAGAGGGAGCGCGCGGCGGCGGCGGCGGCGGCGGGGAGGGAGGGAGGGGGGGGAAGAGACGAAGAGGAAGCAGCACGCGAGAGAAGGGTTGGCGGTATCGCCCCCCCCCTCTCTCCCTCCTTCACCAACCTCTCGCTATATAATTGGCAGCGCTGGAAGAAGAAGAAGAAGAAGGGAAGGGCAGGAGTGGGTGGGGGGGGGAGGAAAGACGGGGCGGAGAGGAGGAGGAGGGGGGGTTGCTCTTCGCATGTACTCACCGAATTGGCCATGCCTGGGGGCCTTGGGGGGGTGTCTTCGGCTCTCCCCGCCCCCACCCTTCCAGCTCTAATTCATGAAGAAACGGAGAATGCGCACAGGAAAGGAAAGCCCATGGCCGACGTTTTCGCTCGCTTTCGCCCCGAGGCTCGTTATTTTTATTTTTATTTATTTTTTTCCGCCCGCTGATAGTACTGCTGCTGCTGCCGCCGCCGCCGCCGTCGCCTTCTTCCTTGTCTGTCGCTCGCTCCTTATTAAACTAAGCCCCCGGCTCTGGCTGCTGTGAGCCCTACCGAGAGCATGCGCCCTGGTGCACTCCTGTGCCAATTCCTGACACTCTCATGGATACAACACCGGGCCGAAAGAGGAAAGGGGGGGGGGGGAAGAGGGGAGGGAGGAGGGGGGGGTGGTGGTAAAGAGAAAAGAGGCAGAGCCAATCAAAAGCGACCAGGAGTCCGGAATAATAATAATAATAAGGCGAATAATAACGCTAATAATAAGCAACGATCGGAAGAAAAGAGTGAAGGAAACCCGCGTGCAGCTCGGGGCCGGGCGAGGCGCGCAGCCTGCCAGCCTCCCCGCCCCACCGCGCACACACTTTTCCGTGCAGCGCCTTAAAGTAACAGGTTTATTGAACGGAGGGAGGGAGGGGTGGGAGAGCCGAAAACTGCCCAACCTCAAAAAGTAAAAGTCCTGGGATCTGACAATAAAAAACGGATTTAAAAACTGCTGGAATGCAGAACGTATGTCTGACAAGAACCCTTTTTAGCCGGTAGCGAAAAGGGTGGAAAGGAGAGGCGGGGGGGGGGGGGGGGCTTCTTTGGGGTGATGAGGCAAAACGGCTGGAGTTTCCCTTGGCTTGAATTTTCTTTTAATGGAGACAAAGATCTTTTTAAATAAGAACTTGGAGAAGGAAAGGAGGGTGTGTGTTATGTGTGCGTTTCAAAAAAAAAAAAAAAAAAACATCTCGGAATTCCTGCATTACTTCAGCAGTTGCCAATGCATGTTTAAGTGATACTGAAATGACGCTGGTATGCGTTTTTGTACAAAGTGATTGGAAAAGTGCTTCGTGGAAGAAAATCAAATGCCTTCAATCAAATAAGGTGTGCGGCTGGAAAAATTGAAGCAACTTGTAATTGCGTTCATTTTAAGACTAAGAGCATACCGGTGAAGCCAAAGAAACACTTTTTTCGTTAGATCACAATTAGTGTTCTTTATGTCAATAAATAAGCATTGATTGATTCCAGTATAAAATTAGCTGTGGGATTACTGGTAAGATGAATAGGTTAAGAAATGAAGGAATGGAGAGATGTCCTGCTCAAAGGCCTGCTGGCAGGTCTGGGTTGTTGTCTCTAAACCCACCCTACAAGATTCTGTTTTACCAAAAAAAAAAAGTAGAAAAAGAGATTCATATGATACCAGAAATCCTAGAAGGATGCACACAGAATATGTAATAGAAAAAGAATAAATAGCCTTCATTCAGCTCCCCTTGATTAAAAAAATAAAAAAGCATAAATATGAACATATTCTCTGACCTGAAGTAGCACTCTCAAAATAGCAACCGCAATCAATTATTGACTGGAGTGGTTATAAACTGTACTTGAAACCAGATACATTTTAGCAATTAGCAATTGTAATCCTTAAAAAGAGCAATAATCTGGCTCAATTTCTGAGGGACAGGGAAATAGTTGCTTTTCCTAAAGTTATTGCTACATCTTCAAGATAGATTAGTGTGCATATGTACACATGTAGCTGAAATGAGAAGAAAGTAGGGCCATAGCAATCTTTAAATTCAATTCTTTCCTATTCAGGTAAAATACCAAAATGCCCTTTAAACTCAAATTCAAATTATATATAAGTTTAATAAATAATAAAAGTTTTCTACTTTGTGAACGTTTTACTGGTCTTAATAAAGATGCTTTATTTTTAAAATGTTTTTATGTACTTTAAATATTTTATTTTTTGTTTTCTATTTCTTGGGGATTCCGAACACAAGTTTTTCTGAGAAAGAAAGGCTAGTAAGAAGAGAATTCTAACACACTTTTTTTCAGTGGCATCCCTGTCTCCAACAATGCAATGCTATATATGTACATGTAGAAGTAAGCCCCACCGTGTTCAGAAGGGAGGGTCTTCTAGAATCTAGATTGTCCCCTTGAGAGTTGGAACAGATTTTCTGATCTGTTAAGACAATGGATATCAGAGGCAAATAAATCAATGAAAGTTCTCTTGTAGTCTCTGAATTTTTCTTTTGGGACCTTCTTAAGATCCCAAAATCATTTCTTAATGGGACCTTCTTAATCTTACTGGGTCTGTACACTTCTAATTGGGAAGGATGGAATAAGTGTAAGCAAAGTGACTCCAGGATATTCGATATAGTAGACGTAGAATATTGAGTGGACATACACTGTAACGAAGATGTTTTGTGTATAGTACTGAAAACAGTTTAATTGATAACAAAATACACATTTCCTAAACACTGTAATGGAAGAGTGGCTAGATGTAAACATGGAAAATAAACAGCGGCTTTTGGGCCCAAATAGAACTCTGTGTAATTTTAAAAAATTAAATTGATTCCTTATATTATTTTGGTGATTTTAAAGATTCTTATTTGAAGACTCTTGTGTCTACCATTTACCAGTTGTAACTGCAGCTTTGGTTAAAATGTTGTTTAGGCATTTATTTCTTCATTTCAATAATAGTCAAACTGTTTTCCAAAGTGTTCTGTGTTTTCTTTAAAACACACCACAGGTTCAACATCCAAAATTGAATTCAGCAGACAGTGATAATACCCAAGTTATTTGTTGGGAGGAAGGCTGGTCCTACCTTTAATAACAATAAGCTATTTGTGTCAATGTCAGATTTGGAATAATATTTCATTATAGTTTAAACCCCTATTGCATGTTTATTGTCCGATATGAGGAAAGCAAGTGAAGATTTCTGGTCTTTTTATTGACATAACTGATTGCTTTAGTTATTACAAATCTTAGTTTGATTGGTAATCGTGTTTTTCTTTTCTTTCTTTCTTCAAAATGGGTCGAATCTTTATGTAAAATTGAGATAGTGTCAGGAAACATGAAAAAGACAACAAAACCAAAGCAAAATATAGAAAAGGAGGCAACACTACAGTACACCTACAAAATTGAATAATTTGTGGTGAAATTCATGATGGATAAAGCCATTTACCTCAAAGCTTGAAAAATAAAAAACTAAATACACTTCATTGGAGAGGCAAGACAAAAAAAATAATGAAAACGTGTACTTATGACATCTATGTGCATCTTCTACATTATGGAGGATAGGTAACATACAAATGATTGTATAATAAAGAAAAGATTGGGTATACAACGGATACACAAAATAAATAAGGACTAGGTCATTTATAACCTACAGAATACATGCCACCTTCTGGATCCATCTTTTCAGCCCCAGTATTGTGCCACCAAAGTGCAGAAGCAAATTTCCAATTTTCAGCACTTTTTTTCCTTCAGCTAAAATAAATGTTAAATCACTAGTGTATAATACCAAAACTATGTTGCTTGAGTCCTCCCTCAAATGAACAAGGTTCAGTCTCACATCCTCCAGTAAAATCATTATCACTTGCCTTTCATAGGATCAAATCCACAGTCGATCAGTAAAGGATCTCCCCATCTCTCATGCCAAAAAGAATACCCATCCTTTCAAGTGTACAAAAGGGGTATGCAATTCTTACATTATCATCAGAAGAAAAGGGAGAAGGAAATCTCTCCCTGCATCCCACAGCATTGCCTTCACCTATGCCAGGGGTAGGCTATCTTGGCTCTTTTATGAGTCGTGGACTTCAACTCCCAGAGTTCCTGAGCCAGGAATTCTGGGAGTTGAAGTCCACGACTCATAAAAGAGCCAAGGTTGTCTTCCCCTGATCTATGCTGAGAGGTTATAGGGGTGCCCAAGGAAGGAGAGGGAGGTCCATTTGCTGTACGTAAGCCTGTTCACACAGTATTGAACTTTACTTGTGGAAGTGAGTGCACAAATAACACCAATACTTGAAATTAAGGGGGTTCAGTTCAAGTCAGACTCCATTTGGTGGACCAGCCATGGTGGCAGTTGTAGGGAAGGCATTTCTACTGGAAACCTTTTAGATGTGCCTGGCTGAGGAATTCTGGGAGTTGAAGTCCCCAAGTCATAAAAGGGCCAAGTTTGAAGACTCCTGATATAGTGATTCCAGAAGTATTCCCATTGACTTTGACAGTTAACCACTGCAGCATAAATTACAATCCCTTTTTGCAATAGGTTGCCTGACATTTGTGTTGAATAAAATGACATAGGTTCAGTGGTGGGATTCAGCCGGTTCGCACCACTTCGGCAGAACCGGTAGCTAATTTTTTTGTTGCCCAGGCCCAGAATGGACTTCCGGAAGCGGCATCCACACAGAGAACCGGTTGTTCACATATTTGAATCCCACCACTGCCTAGGTTGCTGAAAAATGTTAATCAGTAAGTCAACCTTACATTATTCAGTTGAAGATTCACAGTTGAAAAGAATAATGAAAGCAGTTCTTGCTCTGAATATACAATAGAGGATATTTTAAAAATAAAAATTGCTTCCAGCAAGCTTGTAAAATGGATTGCTTGTGTTCCTCTTTGATGGACTCTGCAAACCTCACCCTGAAAAAGATCTACAATGAAAAACAAACAATGTGCAAGGGTTTGGGAGGTAAAGGTTGGAAAGATTCTTAATACATAGGTAAAGTTAGACACTCACTGTGAACCTGGCAAACTTACCTTAAGAAACAAAGGGAAAGAAAAATGCAAGGAATGTACTGATTGAATAAATGCAACTGGTGATGATGGATTAGAGGAGGAAAATGGCACCTCTAATAATATTTAAGAACTGCTTTTATCATCACTCATTGCACTGTGGCATCCTTTGGAAGATTTTAATTGCTTTATAATTCAAAGTTTAATTCAAAGCACACGAATGAGTTAACTCTTGTAAATAATTACAAGAGAAATACATTTCTCTTCCCCAGCCCAGAAAATTGTGCTACATGATTCAAACGATTATGTAATTACAATTATGTAATTGTTTGAA